GTCTTTTTACGTCATCCCCACAGGCAATGTCATCCAGTATGAGCAAGGTTTGCGTATTCTTGGGGAATTGTTTATGCCAAAACTTTAAATGCCCCGATAACTCATTGGGGTCTAAGATATCTACAAAGAAGTCGTCGTCTTTTACTCCTGCTCCTGTCCAGGTTTTGTTGTTCACGTAGGTGGGGCAAAGCAGCACTATGTAATCGAATCGGTATCTAAAGGGTCCTAACAACTGCTCCACTACTAATTGGGTCTTTCCGCAGCCGGTAGGACCTACTATCAGCGCATTAAAGGGCATATGTTCGGGGTTCATTATATTTATTTGTATATATAGAGCCCGCGGAGTCCGTTAAAAGCATGGTGGATATGTTCAGGAAAACGTCAGAGCTGGTAGAGTCGCAAAGGGAGGAAATAGAGCACCTGCAGGAGCAAGTGAAAGATTTAGCGGAAAAAATGCGCGGTTTGAAAAGCGCAGAGAGGGTCGGAGCGTTAATGACCATGGCAATGTGGATAAAGGAGTTAATGACCATGGCAATGTGGATAAAGGAGTCCGCGTTTGACTTTATGAAATATCCTTTGTGATTCTTATTAAATTCTTATTATATAATGGAGTGCAACGATTGTGGAAAGACGTTAAGCAGCAAGCAAATGTTAAATTACCACCGTAGAAAGGCGGTGTGTAAGAAACCCAAGGAGCACATCTGCGAACACTGCCAAAGGAAGTTTAGCACAACGCAGATGTTAAGTTACCACGTGGATAATAGGGTTTGTCTAAAGAATGTCTGTATCTACTGCGAGGAGGTTAAAGAGGACGATTGGCACCAAGAAAGATGYATTATCCGCTACGACATGCAAGAGGTCGTTTGCTATGAACATGGGGATCTTGCGGAGCGCTGTTGTCCGCAGGACACYAAAAAGAGGCTCATACAGCGTAAAAAGAAGATAGATATGCGCTTCGCACTGTTTGACAAGGCTGAAGGAACGCGGTGGGAGAATAGGGAATACTGGGAAGCGGAGTGTGGCCGCTGCAGCTGTGTCAGAGATGGTCAACATATCTGGCAGTGCTTGTTCGTAAGCGTTGACCCAAAAACGTTTAAAGAATACATGGAGCGCGTAATCGAATGGCGTAGCAACTGAAACTATTTCAGAAATATCCTTATTCTTATTAAGGATTTATTATTACCCTGAAAACTATTTCAAGAAATTCCTTATTCTTATTTATTATTTATTATTCCACAAAAAAGAAGTCAAAAAAATTATTAATATTTATTATTTCCCCTTAATAAGAATTTAAGAAGAATAAGGATATTCCTAAAATAGTTTCCGACCATTTAATAAATAATAAATAAGAATAAGGATATTCCTAAAATAGTTTCCGGGGCCTTAATAAATCCTTAATAAGAATAAGAATATTCTCAAAATAGTTTCCTAGATATATGGTAGCACACGCAATTGCATTTTTTGAGGCTTCCTAATCGCGCTAAGTATATATGGATTGTACTACATGTGACCCACCTGCGGAATGCATAATCGCGTCTCTTTTGAGGACAAAAAAAGATACGGCTGCCCACATTGCGGCAGCACTTTCGAAGATCACTGGTGTTCAGCAGATTCTAAGGCTCAGAGGACTTTGTTAGACGCTAACCATGCAGAGGAGACTCCGGCTCATACTTAACTACGTCAAATATCCACCTACCATCCTTTTTACCATGACTCATAACATGGGTAACATCCTGCCCTTCAATGGCGTACCTTATCTTATCAAGCGCCCAAAGGGTGTATATTCTTTTCTTATTCTTTAAGACCAAACGCAAGCGGTCAATGTCAATACCCAATCCTGGAATTCCTCTGCCTTTGGCATCTTAGAGCTAAATATTAGTTGATACAGCCCAGATTCGGTTACATACAAGGAATGTGGGTGTGAATTGGGAGGGAGGCGATTCACCTCCATTCTAAGTTCACTAAGCCTTTTCTTATATTTCTCAGAGACGTGTACCTTAATAGCATCCTTTGGACGTTCGTATTCCAAGGCTACTGCTATTTGCTTTGCTTTAAAGTACAGCTTGTCGCCTTGCACTATGCATTGCAGTTTCGTATCGTCTTTGCAGAAGTTGCGTAACATGGTATATTAGTTGAATATTTTATCCTTTCTTGGATGAGTGAGCACGAATTAATACGCAACGCTTTTCAATTGGTTCATTTCTACGCTTAGCTGCGCGTCAGACACGACAAAGATGTAGCAGTTTATCTTATCACCGTCGCCCGCAGCAGCATTTCTTGTGCGCTTGATCTCCAAAGTAATACCGTCTTGGGTGTTTACCAACCGCAGCCCCTGACCATGCATGCTCTCGTCGTTGGTGGTGCGCATGTCGATCCATAACGCATATTTATCCTTAAAGAATTCCTCAGGACTAATTTGGTCGCCAAACTTGCGCATTGCCTCCCTGTACACGTCTGCGGGCTTTATTCCCTGGGAGTAGACCTTGTTAGGTACTCCGTTGACATTTACCCCTACGTTAGTAATGCCGGGATTATGGAAGGCTTCGCTGTTGCGCTTACCAGCCTCATAGGGCTTAGCAAACACCAGCATTAGCCCCGTTAAGCTACGCCTGGGGAGGTTAATACTTTGGTTGATAACCTCGTCCGTCTTATCCTTAAAGCTAAATGTTTTATACATTACCACGTGGTCGTAAAGGAATGCCTTTCCGCGCTATATTCCATGCCGGCGCTACGGGCCAACTCTTCGCTGTATACCGTCTCGTACTGCAGCTCCAGGTTGGTAACGGAGTATGGATCCACAGCACCACTTATCGCACTATCCATTTCTCCTAAGACGTTAGTTGTGTCTGCTAGGGTTACTTCAAACTGCAGTTCACTTATTGCCTGGGGTAGTACACACCATGGTTTGTAATCACTTCAAAATCAAGCGGGATAACATACTTGCTACCATAGGCGGTCTTTACCCTCGTGGCATCTGCTACTGCCGTCTCTCCGCTGGAGTCCGTAGGTGCGGGGGTGGTATCGCTGCGAAGCTTGCGTAGGATGACACTACCAATTCCTTGTTCTACTCTTTGTGCTCGGTCAAAGGCCGTTAACCATAGGTCCTTGTAAGTGTTGTACAAATCATATCTATTTAAGTCCAAGAGGGATTCCCCGGCGAACTTGATTCTCATCTTAGAGACAAGGTTTCTGCCTACGTTATTGACTGCGCAGCGCTTGTCTTTGGTATCTGGTTGTATTGTTAGGTCAAACCTTAAAGCCAGGGTGCCGGGAACCAATACTAGGTTATTCGTTAGGCAGGGTACGCCTACGTACCAGGTTTCTCCTGGTTTTGCGCTCCCGGGTGTGAATGTGACCCGGTGAAAGGTGCGCTCTGCCTTTAGGCCGCCAACCTGCTTAGGTAATACGTTGGGGTTTAACTTTGAGCTTATCCTATATAATGGAAGTAGAAAAAACGGATTTTGACCCCACCACCGAAGAAGGCCAAGTCGACATTAACGACGAAGAATACGAGTCCTTGCTTCCCAACGACAACGTAGACGGGCAAAGTGTCTTTGAGAAATTGAAAAGCAAGAATGGCGGCAGGGCCCGCGATGCTATGCGTTCCTAAAGAGACAAATTTAGGTCTAAGAATCCATACGAACCCATTCCAGAATATTTGCAAATGCACATTCTCTAACCTGATGCGAGATTCAAGCACATGAGAAGCAGCAAATGGTATGATCTCTACCAAAGAAAGAACTATGGGGCGCTCAACAGTAAGCCAACCAAGGAAATAAAGGATGCCCTAGGAAAGAGAAACCTAGCACTTCAGTTGCAAGGCATCGAAAGCGAGCTTGACTCCGGCCAAGAAGAGCTAACCCGGGCACAGGCAGAAAGAAAACAAATAACGGATCCGTCGAGACTTGCTGAAAAGGATGCCGAAAYAGCCAGACTAAATACTACGATAGAAAACATGCGTTCAGAAAAGCAGGAAGTCCTTCAAAAAACTACGGTCCTAGAAGAACAGTTGCGGCAGGCCAAGCAGGCAATAGAAGACCTAGGAAAAAAACATAGCCGAGAAGCGAGAAATAATCAACGACCTAACCAAGCCCGAAGAAGAAAGGGAAGCCGCCCAGACCACCCTAGAGGATTTACTAGAGCGCAAAGCTGAATTAGAAGCCAAAGTCCAATCCTTAGAACGAAAATTGGGCCTTACCACCAAGGAAAAGATAAAAAGGTTCCTGATGAAGCATGGCTTTAGCCTCGCATTCGCAGTTGCTATTTCAAGCGTAATAGGATATATCCTATACGCGCTTAAGGCCATGGGTAGCGGTGTAAGCAAGTTAGGTAAAGGATTGATGGACTTGAGTAAAAAAAAAACGGTAGCCAGCATTCCAGGGCTGCTAGGTAGCGTCATTAGCCTGGTACTTAAAACCGGTGGAGAACTGTTGAAGTTTGTTGGAAATAACATTTGGATATTAGTTGTCGCTATTGGGATGGTCCTTCTTAAGAAGATCAGATGATTTCTTGTCCTCGTGTATTACTGGTGGTCTGTCGTCATTGGGCGTCCGGGATGTTCTTGACTGGGGATAAGTAAAGATAGTATTAGCACCGCTCTGGTAATTCGGAACTAGCGGCAACACACTCATGGTAGAAATGGGCTTATGATTCCAAATAGCATCTACAGGACTATCGCTCCTACTATTAGTAGTATTTATTACAACAACACCAACAAACTTAGAAGGCTGATTGCTACTAGCTCCACTGGGACGAACTTGAAGCATTGCATATTGACAATTGGCTATCATGTGAAAAGTTATTGACGTTAGGTTTTCTATACTTGATGACGTAGGTTCAAACGAAAAATGAGCCAAATTCCTACTATTATTATTTTTTCTGTAAGGTAGTAATGGGTTGTTGGTTTCATCAACTAGCCTAAACGCAGTGTTACAGTAATTCCACCCACTAATGCTAATGGTACACGTAATTAACCCCAAACCGCCAACTTTTACCCACAGTTTGGTGTCATGCCATTCATCCGTATTCTTGG